AATGCGAGAATTAGCATGGATAAAAGTCTTCGCAACAATTAAAGACCACCGCTGAGAGTTATACTAACCGCATCCGTTGAAGGGCTGTCCTGTGCAAATACTCGTACGACCGGGTATCCTGTACTTGAACCTCCACTGGGCGAAGTAGCCGATGAACCACTATTAGAGTTGACCGGTTGAGCTGTTGACGCAACGAAACGCACGTTGAAATTGCTTGTACCATTGGTGGTACCACCGCCTGCGGCACTGAAAGGTGCGGCCTGACCAAAGGCAGCAGGCGGACCGGCAGTAGTGGGACCACGTCCGAACGAGTTCACGGCTGCGTACTCGTCTTCATCAATGAGTTGGCAGTCGCGACTTAGGTCTTGGATCTGAAAGCCAATAACACGACAAAATGAACGGCCTGACAGCCCAAACAGGTCGGGGGCACCAGGAAAGGTTAAAAAATGTTATATTTGGTATTAAATAATCGTTGAGTCGGAACTCGGATGGCGTTAAGGAAGGGGAGACAGCAGGCTGCCAACTACCAGTCCAAGATGAGGAGACGCGACATAGCATTTACCTTCCGACTGACTGCAAAGCACCGTGCAACATATTCATACGGTACACGTATGTGCCACTTAAGAGAGCTGTAAGGAGCAGTTTCCAACATTTCTTGATACAAAAAACCGGAAGTAACTGGCTTCGGGCAATAAATCGCAATGCAGGAGAACTCAGTTGATTGAGAAATTAAGGCGTGCATTTAGTCAAGGGATTCCTCGGGGGGAGGGGGATATTTCTGCCTAGGTATGCGCGCATGCATGTTTATACACAGAAATACAACCAAAAAGGAGCATAAAAATATACAGCTCGAACTTTGACCACAAATATCGTCTCATCGTAGTCTAAATTGTGCTTAGTACTTGTACTTGATCCGATTAGCTCTTGTTGTTGGATTAATTGGTTTCACGGATGTCACGGATAGCGGCGGCCCATTGGCGGCGGTCGGAAACGAGCTCTTCACAGATGTCAACCCATTGCTTGTTCCAATGTCACAAGCCGTAAACGGTAACGAGGCCCATCTGTTCAACGTCCGACTTGACGGTGCTGAGCCATGTCTTCAGTTGACCGCCTTG